CTACCAGAGGCCGAAACGGTGGATCTAGTCTTGCAATTTGAAGGCAGCGACTTTGGCGATTTTTCACGCTCAGACGAATCCACCAAATATTCTGAATTTTTTACCACTGGTAGATTAGGTTGCGATCTTTCCAGGAAAAATATCAAACAAAAATAATTAAATCATTCTGTCCGTGAAACAATCGCCGCGCCGATACCTTGCATATTCTATTTTACCACAGTGCAGTTTGTAGGCTGACGGGAAGAGTATTCTAACACCCGCGATTTTTCCCGCTCCAAAGAATGCGAATCAGAGTTTGAAACATTAAGTTCCCATAGGTTTGCTTGTGATCTTTTTAGGAAAAATAATACAAAAATTTGGAAAAATCGTTTTGACGGTGAAACAATCGTCCTTGCATATTCTAGTTTTACCAGTGCCGTTTGTGGGCTGATGGGTAAAGTACTCCAACTTCTGCGTTCCACGTCTCTCTCTCCCACTGCACACTCTCTCTCTGCACACTCTCTGACTTTGTGCACTCTCTCTCTCTCACTGCACACTCTCTCTCTGCACACTCTCTCTCTCTCATCAAAGTTACACGTACCTGTTTGCCTGCAAGTTCAATGATCTTACTTGGGAAGAGGGAATCTCGTCATTGCCCGATTAGAGAAACTGCCCACTCCCGTTAGAAGTGGGAATACTTGAATAGTTGACCAGCGGAAAGCTCAACTGCCTACTCAGTGACACTGGTCGCTTCCGCCTGCAGCGGAATTACTTAAATAGGTGACCAGCGGAAGGCTCGATTGCCTAATTAGTGACACTGGTCGTTCCCGCTAGCAGCGGAAATACTTGATTGGCTGGCCAGCAGAATACTTGAGTGCCAGATCACTGGAACTGGTCCCTCCCGCTAGCAGCGAGAACACTTGATTTACTGACCATCAGAATACTTGAGTACCTGATCCGTGGAACTGCTCGTTCCCGCTAGCAGCGGGAATACTCGAATACTTGCCAGTAGAATACTTGATTGCCTGATCAATGGACTTGTCGTTCCCGCTAGCAGCGGGAATACTTGAATGAATGACCGGCAGTATGCTTGAATGCATGATCAGTGGAGCTGGCCCCTCCCGCTAGCAGCGAGAACACTTGATTAGCTGGCCAACAGAAGATGCTGCTCCACTCAACTAGCGCCAATGAGGGTTGTGTACACCTCACACTCCCCCTTGTAATGGCCAAGTGGCACGTACGTGTCAGAACTGATCGACGGGTCAAAAACCCTCATCCCTTTGTAACTGCTAGGTGCCAGTTCCTCTGGCGAACAACGCGTCTTGGCAACTCGACAGCTCATCCTCTCTATCTGAAATGCGTGCATGTCGACAACTGGACTCAAAAGTAAAAAAAAACCCTGGTCCCTCTCGTAACGGCCCAGTGGCTGCTTTCCTGGACCAACAGTTGGCTGCTGAGCCTGTCGACACGTGGCACCTGAGCACACACATACGCGTCGCTGGAACCAAGGAAGGTACTACCTAAGTAGACCAGGTCCGGCGGTACTACCATTGGTGCTGATTCCAGATCCAGTAGTCCCGCTGGTCGAGCTGGTACCCAGACCTTGCTGCAGAAATACGGCCTCGACATGCACCCTCTGGTCTGGATCCAGGCCTGGCCAACGTGAGTACTGCCACCACTTAGGCCTACTCATTACTTTCTTGCATTATTATTTTATTTTACTTTATTTATTGTCGAGACTAATCGTGCCCTTCGCAAAAAAAATAATAACAAAAATATAAATAAAATTCAGCGGTAGGGTCTCAGCAGGATTAGCCACTGAAAGGGCAAGGCTAATAAGCTTGATAACCCATAGCACAACCTCTTGCCGTTAAGCAGAGCGGGCTGGACTGTGGTTCACTCAGGTTGGGCTAGTGGGGTACGTCTTACCCCGTAGGTTAGAACGTCAAACCAGTGTGGCAAATTTGACACACCGAGGAGGGCCAGAATGTCGGGCCCTCCGACACCGTGCCCAGCTGCCCGCAGCCTGAGTTGGGTCCATGTTGCGTATCTCGCCCAGAGCCTGACTCAGATGCATTTGATAAAGGTAGCCAGGGCCTGGGCGCTTTCAACCAACTGGCGCTGCGCAACTGCCTGTGTTTCACCCAGTTGCATGGTAGCTGAAAATTAGGCCTTCTGGCCTTGGTCGGGCCTGCCTTCACTTAGGGCGGCCGATTGTGCTGCTCACAGGTCGAAAAAGGGGCCCATTGGGGCCTTATGCCTCGCATTCCCTCCTCCATATTTCGACAGTCCTATGAGAAGTTCTATTACTCAATCTGGCGCTTTCCCTTCTGCAGCAAGTTCTTGTAATGAGCCACAACCTGTGAAGCGGTCTGCATCAGTTCCTCTCAAGTAAACCATTTGTCCTCCTTAGGATCAATGTGATGTCTGAACCGAACGCGGTAACTGCAGCTTCGGTTTAGGAGGACGTCCTCTGCCTGTTGTTCTTGGAACTGGCATTTCCATATGGTCCACGATGTTGTCGATGTCGACCTCTCCATCCATGGTTGCGGGCAGCATTGAGCGTCGTGAGGGAAACTGATCTGTTTCCTCCAAAGGTGCAAGCTTGGTTGCGTGGAAAACAGGGTAACTGCGAAGATGACCAGGAATCTGAACTACATACGACGGCCCATCAGGATCGTCCCTGACGATATCTAGAACCTCCCAGGGTCCAAAGTACTGTGGCATGAGCCTTGCGGGATATCCCGTGCTCTTGTCCCAGTTCTGAGGACTTGACCCAGACTCCGTCCCCTACCTGGAATGTGGATGGGCGGCGATGTTTGTTCTCCGACTCTATCATCGCCGCCTGCGCTTTCTGCATCTGCTCTACAGCTTGCTGCATCAGGCGCTCGTATCGATATGCAAACTCTAAAAGTGCCTGGTGCAGCAGAAGGATTTTTTTTTTTTTTTTTTTTTTTTTTTTTTT